GGAGAGAATGAGACTACCAGGGTTCTTGTTCCTAAGGAAAGGGGAAATATTAATCATTTTTAGGTTAAAAAAATATTTGGGGTTAATGGGTGAGTTTTGACGGGATGGACTTAACATCCGTCATCCGTCCACTAGGGTTCTTGTTCCTAAAGGAAGGGGAAATATTAATTATTTTTTAGGTTAAAAAATAATTGGGGAAGGGGGAATATTAATTATTTTTAGGTTAAAAAATAATTGGGATTAAGGGTGAGTTAAGATGGGATGAACTTAACACCGCCCATTACATTCCATTAAGTTTGCACATGTGAATGCGAAGAGGCACATGTTAGTAGACATTGTGCAAAATTTATGGTGTGGGTAGGCACATGGGTAGGAAGGTGTGGGCAAGAGATCCAAACTCATTGGGAAGGTATCATGTTACCCCACTCCCCAATCAATTCCTAAAATTGCTCTCTCCCCCAATTTATATCCAGTCTCCCTCATTTAAAATATTCATATTAATTAATAAATAGTTAAATACAGTTAATATTTAATCCAACCCATTTTCAATGWGTATTAAATAGTGTTATTACCAAAAGTTAATAAATACGGTTAGTAAATTACCAAAAATTAAATATTCTTATTAGCATAATTAGTAAATTACAAAAAACTAATAAATATTGTTATTAATTAACTCATCATCACCTTTTAAAGTATTTTGGGTAAATACTGTTATATTCGTGTTAATTAACACCATTTTATAGAAATTGAAAACTCTTTAACTAATTTCTATAAAATTGAGAATTATATTTAACAATTATCAAAAAGTATAAAATTTTAGTTATTACTATTATTATAGTTAATAACTGAATGTAGATGAGGGAATATAATATTATAATGTTAGAAAATGAAATTATTAATTAATTTATATTGGAAAATAAAAGATAAATTAGTGTAATTTTGTTAGTAAATTACCTAATAAAAATAAATATTTAATAATTTAAAATAATTTTCAATAAATCTTCATAATTACACAAATGTAATAATTTTTTTTTCAAAAATTTTCATAAAACCACATTTTTGTACAATAAAATTTTGGAAATTAAAAGATATAAAATTTTTGAAAGTTTATTTAAAATGTATTAAATACTTATTGAAAATTATTGGAATATTTTGGAAATTTTAGGAAAATTTATTTCATTTGATAGATTTTGGAAAACTATTGAAAAATCATGTAATTTTCATTGTAAATTATTGAAAATTATTAAATATAATTGTGTATGCATGGAAAAGGAAAAACTATAATTAGTTTATAATAGAAAATATAAAATAAATTATTGTAATTCTATTAGTAAACCATTTAAAAAGAAAATAAATTATTTAATAACAATTTAAAAATAAATTTGAATAATTTTTCAAAATTACACAAATGTAATAAATTTTCATAAAATTATATATATATTTTTGAAAATTAAAGACAATTTAGTGTACTTTTAGAAATTTACAATGTGGTTAATATTTAGTATATTCTTTTGATAATTTTTGTCATCAAATTGAATATTGGGTTCACTGGGGATGGGGTGGGGATGGGGTAGAGTGTCTTGACTATGGGGCGAGGGCAGGGATGGGGTGCCTCGCCCCATTGCCATTCCTATATAATTGTTAATTATTAGTGAAATTAATAAAAATATTAGCTTTTATAATTATTTTTATTTATTTAAAATCAATCAAAAATTTATTTAAAAATAATGAAAATAATAATAGTTATTAAAATTACTACAAAAGATTAATAAAATTAATTTATTAAAAAAATATTTGTTCATATTAAATTAACAATAATTATTTTCTGAAAATCAACATTA